ATATACAAGGGAGATGTTTGGGACCCCTTTCCCAACAAACACTAGGAGTGTCTCTTATGACACCACTAGTTTATTATATGGGGGTCCCTTTGTTCTGCTGCCATCTCTGGTGTGGATATCCTCTTCATCATATCCTCTAGTGTTGCCTGTCTGACCAAGGACCTGAGCACCATTATGGCCTGGAGGCTGCAAATGGTGAGGACTGAGGCTGGCCAAGGAAGTGAGAAACCTTGCTGCTTTCCCTCCAGGCAGTGTAGTTCCCGCCTCAGAGCAGCAGTCCCATGAGGCTGCTGCATCCTTCTCACGTGCTCAGATGGAGAGAGCGAGGCTCGGAAAGGTTAGGGGGCCAGCGGGGGCTTTCTGCAGCTGGGCTGTTGCAGGCTGGGAGCCAGATTGAGGGCATCCAATTCCCAGTCCTGTCTCGTTCCCACTGAGCCACTCTGCCTCGCTTTTAATTTAATTAAGAGAACATTTAATCCCCTCGTGCATTTCAGAGACGGGTTTGAGCCTGGCCGGGGCTGCGTGGGGCTCTGCCGAGGATCCTGTGACTCACACAGCCCCTGTACAGCCCTCCCGGCCAGGCTCCCAGGGGGCTTCCTTGGCACCTTGTGCAGACAGAGGTGGTCTGGAGCCTCAGAGGAGACTGGTCAGGGAAGGCAATCTGGTGTTATGTGTTCTTGGCATGCTCCTTTCCATCTCCCTGGCCACTGGATCCAGCAGAACCTTTCAGTCCTTTCTCACCAATGTCTACAGGTTGAAAACCCAAGTGAGAAATGTGGGTGGTTACTGAGGTCTACTGCTCAGTGCCCTCCAAAACGTCCCAGGAAAACTGGTCCCATCGTAAGAGCTACCCCACCCCCGCCCCCAGTCAATGGAGCTGAGTTCAGGGCTTGACTTGTGACATCTGCCTCTATTTCCAGAAGGCATGGGCTAGCCCTGGCCTCACTGACAAATGCAGAATTCAAGAGACATTAGTAGTGATGTAGATGAAAGCCAGGCCACAGTGGCCTCACTGGAAAAGAGAAACTTGAACGTCTTGGCGTGAGATTCTGCAGGGTCCAGGAGAAAGTTGAAGACATGGAAATTCTAATTAACGCACATGGGGCTGGTTTTGCTCAAGGATTTTCGAAGCTGTCATGTCGCAAGAGACTGGGCAAGCACATGCTCGCCAGGGAGGTGCTGACTGTCACCTGGTGGGTTCTCTGCAGTGCCTTAGTCTGTAAGCTCACTTTCTTTCTGCTTTCTTTCCACCCCTCTGCTTGGCCACACCATCTCAGTGGACAGGGTGCCTCCTGAATGTCCCTTATGGGGAGGGAGGTTGAGAGGAGGCTCACCTGTCCAAGTGCTATAACAGGAGAGATGGATGGGCCAGGGACCAACTCATAGACCCTTCAAGAAAACCGTATGATGAAGCAGGGCCGAGCCACAGGATGCTGGGTGCATGGTGGGCTTGGCCTCTTGGTCCATCCATGTTGGGTATCCATATGCAACTAATCAGCCAGATGTGTGGTTCTAGGCCAGTCCGGGCTGGCTCACCAGCTGGGGAGAGGCAGTGAAGGAGGATTTCACAAATGTGGCTGTGGGAGAAGTACACCCAGGCCACACCCTCACGTCCTCGAGCTTGGAGGTGCAGAGCTTTGTGCCCTGGGCGCTGTGTCAGCATGTATGGGAGGCACCCACATCTCTTTCTTCATATCCTCAGGCAGGGCCAAGGAGGTGCTCTTTGCATGGGTTGGGGTGTGGCAGCCCTGAGGCTTCTCTGTGTCTGGAGTTTGGGGGATAATGCCCTGCGTCCTTCCAGTCCTGAGCAAAGTGGTTACTGGTATTTAGGACCTTGAGAGCCAGAGAAGGCCATAGCTCCCCAGACTGGAAGCACCTAGGAATGGGGTCCTTGAAGCAGGGACAATGGAGCAAATGCTGAAAAGATGTTAGGACTCTGATGGCCAGATGAGTGACAAGGGAGTTCCAGATGACAGGATACCATATGTAAGGCATAAGGACACACACCAGAGTGTCTGTATTCCTCTCCTACTGTCCTGCCAGTGACCCTTGATGGGCAGAGGTCAGTAGTGGTTAGAGCAGGATCCTGGGAACTCATTTTGGTTATTGTTGGGGTATAGGGTTCTCCTTCTCTCATAGAAGTCCCCCACATACTGCCAACAGTGGCTTCTATCTCTATTCACTCCCAAAAGTCTGAGGCAGGACTTTCAGGGGAGGAGTCAGGCTCAGTGCTTGGGACCGAAAGGCTCCCTCAGCCCTGTCAGACCCAGGAGGACAGAACTGGTAGAGAGGTGTGTGTGAGGCTGAGGGCACTCGAACCGGCAGGGGCCTGGGGGCTGCATGTGAGCTGCCGGGGCTTGCCTACCGTGCTGGGGCTGGCAAAGCCATAGGCCCCCCAGCATTCTATGCTGCAGTCCCTACTTGCCAGTGACCCCCTAGTTTTCACCAGGCCTGCTTGCTGGCTCCTTGCCCCTCAAACTACCACTGGCCAACAGGCCCCGGAAAGAGGAGCTTCGCCCAGACCCAGGGACCTTCCCGTAATCAAGGCTGTGGTGACCTCACCTCCCTGGGGCCCTGCAGGCGGGGAGAGCTTGAGATGGAAACAAAATGTGTCTTTATTTATGCTTTTAATTTGAATTCTGGAACTGGCCCAGCATGGTAATACATTTAACATCAGTAAAATACTGAAGAAAAATAGATCTGGCTTTCGGCAACCACCTCCCACCCATTTTGCCCCCTGTGAGACCCTTGTACACATCCTTGTCCTCTGCACGCGCATCAGGGCACGTTCCCATCTTCCTAGTGCAGGTCCATGAGGCCAGCTGCCCACAAGAGCTGTGTTGCATCCCTGAGCAGCTGGAGCCTAGTTTAATTAGGGGCATCCATCACCAGGCATACTGGGTGGGAGATGGAGGAGCGTAGCCCAGTGTGGGCACACAGGCCTGGCTGCCCCTGCCCCACAGGCACTTGGGCTCTGCGTAAATACAGTGGCCACTATGGCTTGCCTGTTCCCTCAGGATGGGGTGAGGGCTTAGCTCTAGGGGCATCTGGGCTCCAAGTACTCACACTTTACTGTACCTGTGTCCTACCCTCCCTGCTAGGACTTCTTGGAGGGACGGCACCCAACTCCTGAGGTTTCAGATGTCCAGATCCCTTAATGCCTCGACGCTGACTCTAGTCAGATCACAACCTGTTGCTAAAACCTTGTTCTTCCCTCTCCCAGCCTCCACCAAGCCTTCCTTCCCTGCAGAGGAGGTCATGGCTGTGCCAGAACCCAGCTAACAGTAGAAGTCCCAGAGGCCCAGCAGTACAGCTTGAGAAGGGCTTATGATGTGCCAGGACCACGGAAGGCAGAGGCCTTGAGTTCTTCTGTCTTAAAAGGGACATGAGAAACTGCCTGGTAGCCTGGGCCATGAGGCCACACTTGCTTGAGGCTGCCTTTAGATTGGCTGGGCAGCCTCTGGCTCTAGAGGGCTCAGAATGTGCTAACGGCAGCATGAGTAGTCTTTGCCCTAAAAGGAGCAATTGCAGGGCAGCTGTAGGCTTGGTGATGGGCCACATGGGTCCCCAGTCATTCACCATTCCCTGCTACACCTTCATGTGTGGTTTGCACAGGGCGCAAGAGCTGGCAAGGCCTCACGATCCCTGGCTGTGAGAATAAAGCACAATGCTCTCCAATAGGAGGTGAGTGGCCAAAGGACAAGAAAGGATAGGTTAAGTGGCCTCGTGAGGCCTAAGTGGCATCCTGGCGCATAATGGGATTCCCAGTGTACTCTTGGATGATGCCACTCCTGAGTAGGTGCCCCATCCATCTCACACATACCACCAGCCACTTTGGGGAACTCTAGTCTTCATCACTTTGGGGTCTCCCATGCCCTGGACTTGACTGGGAACCTGAACAACAGTCAACCATCCTGTGAGCCTGGATGGCCTGGGGAGATAGTGGGCAGATTGTTTGGTCATAATCACACCTTAGGACAACCAGTGCTCCCTGCAGAGTGGCCTCACTTTGGCCCTCCACTCTGCCAGTCTCAGCACTGTGAGTTCCAACTTCCTTAGTCACCTATAAGACCAAATCCACACCTGGCTGGCAGCAAAAGCAAGAGGTCCAGGGCCTCACTATGACGTGGTACACATGATTCACTCAGGACAATCTCCTGATCCCCCAGAGAATCAGAAGAACAGAACAAACTAGAGAAACCCTGGTAAAGCAATGGAAAGAGTCCCAGCAAGCAGCCCTCAGAAGGACTGAGAGCGTGGCTCCCACATCCTCCCACAAAGACTCTTAAGGAAACTCCACCATGGGGGTGTGGCCAGAATGGGCCCAGTGCCCCACTGACCCCACTGCATGACTGTCACCACTGGGTGCTTGGTTTGGAGCACTGAGTCACACATCACAGGGGAATCACACCATGGCTGGGCACCAGGGATTGGCCTGGTGATGCCGTGACGGCGGGGGAGGATGGCATATATCCCAGGCCAGCTGTGCCTCAGGGGAGGCCAACTGGAAGGCGTGGAGAATTAGCCATTTCCTCCACCTGAAGGAGCCCCTGAGGACAGCAGCGGCAACTGGCAGACAGCACCCGGCATCTGCCCCAGAGCTTTGGCCAGGGTTCCATGGGGAAATGCTAAAAAACAAAGTCGACTCTTTCTGGGGTTGGGGGAGGGGGCAAGGGGAGAGAAAAACAATCTTCTCAGACACTCAAAGCATGAAAACAAGTAGAAAATGATCAGTCTGGTTTTCCATAAGTCAAAACAGGAGGATCATGTTCCCAGACTCGGCGGGAAATGCCCTTGTTCTTTCCTCTTCTGCCTGGTGCCTGGCACTGGGGCCAGGCATGGCAGCTGGTGGCTCCAGGTTCCTGAATGCAGGCAGTGGGTGCTGGGTGAGTAGACACCACCCTGGCACAAGAACAAGCCTTCCTTACCCCTGCGCCAAAGTGTCCCCTCTAAGCCCCATGCCCCTCTAGCCCAGCCTCTGTGGGCGAGCGGGCACTCACTGTGACACGTGGGTGATGGGGGCCAGCAGTGTCTCCCCTTCCAAATCCAGGTCCTCGGCGAAGCTGTTGGTTCTCAGAAAGTGGGCTGGGCTCACTTCCAGCAGCGTGGGGCTCTTCCTCACTGTAGAAAGTGTGGGTAACAGCACATTAGACCTCCACTTGGGGCTTGATGATGAAGGGGCCCCAGAACTTTCTTGCAGATGCCCACCCTCACCTCTGAGACCTGTGGATGCTCAGGCTCAGGTGAGAAGTAGACGTGGTACCCAGAAGCTTCAGCCTCAGGCATTGGTGTGAGGTAGGTAAATGTTTAAGATGGCCCCGAGTGCCTGAGACCTCAGTGCCCAAGAATGGAAAGGGTCAGTGAATCCTCCTCAGTGTGGCAACTGCCTGGGGCTGAGCTCAGGATTCCAGGACTCATCCTACTTCATGTTCTGGTCTCTCCCCAGCTTCCTATCTGACATTTGTTTGGGTCAAGAATAAAACACAGATAACAGGCACAGGTCTGGTTGAGACACTGGCTCCCGCTGCAGATGCAGTTATAAACTGATAGGGATACAGGCCAGGGCAGTAGGACCCCTGCACCTAGAAGTCCAGGGCTGCCTCTTTACTCTGGCCATGATGCCCCATCCACTGCCTATACCCTGAGCGAGGTGGAAGAATTATCCCAATAGGTGGCTTCATACTTGTATTCCTGGGCCCTTCAGTGACTCTGACACAGGACCTCAGAGGACTGATCCCTTTTGCATTCACTCTCAACTCAGTAGTTCTTAACTTATTTCAGCATATAAAGTGCTGCAAAAGAATTCAGTACTCCTAAGGTGAGGAATGATTGATTCACAATAACCCTCATCTTCCATTGTCATCACTGTTAACCTCTAGTTGTATCCCTAGCTCCTGCCCCACTCTGCTCATTAGAGTACACAGGCTAGACATGAATTGCTTTTTATACGTGCAGGACAGCTCTGGTTGTATCAGTTTGTTCCTATTACTCTGCAACACACTCATGTCTTCCTCTAGGTATGTCCAGATGGAGCTGATGATCATTTTAATAGTTATACAATAGTCCATAGCTTAGTTCTACCAGAATAAATTCATCCACTGTATGGAAATCCAGGCGCTTTTAGCTTTAAGACACTTCTTCAGGCAATGATGCAAGAAATACCTATCTTTATTTATAAAAGGTGATGTACTGGAGCAAAGCAAGAGGGGTGTGTCTTTGTTTTAATAGATGTTGTGATTACTTTTCTAGTAAGTTATAGCAACTGACACCCCCCTACCAAAGTCCCCATGCCCAAACTGACTGTCAGTACCCTTTGTAGGTCCTGTCAAACATGGGCAAAAACTGAAGTCTGTTCTCATCTTCACTTGTACTAAATGTCTTCAATGGGGTTGGTGGCTGTTTGGGTTTCCTCTTGGAGAATTGCTTTTTCGTATATCTGTTGTTCGTTTTGCTTGTTGCTTTTTAGGAAACTTTTGCATATTAGAAATAGTAACCTTTTGTTATATAAGGCATAACTATCTCAGTCCATCTTTGGTCTTTTAACCTTAATTATGTTGTTTTTATCATAGAAAATGTCTTTTTTTTCTTTTACAGTGATACATCTTTGCTTTATGAAAAAGGAAGATTTCTCCATACCTAATACAACTATCTCTTAAATTTATTCTTTATGTAAATGTGTCAATATATGTGTATTTGAATGTATGTATAAATTTTATTTATTTATTTTTCTGGTACCAGAAATCAAACTCATCACCTCACACTTGCCAGGCAATCGCTGTGCCACTGAGCTATATCCCCAGTCCATATGTGTAAATTTTAATAAATTTAACATTGCTGTCTAATTTGAGAGATGGTCAACAATCATAAAATAAAAATGTAAAAGGTCATATATACAATCTTACTAAAAAAACTAAAGTAAAATGTAAAAGTATAAAACTTTTTGAAGAAAACAGAAAATCACTGGGACCTTGGATTTGGCAGAAAGATTCTAAATACAATAGCAGCAGCTCGACCAGAAGACAGAAAGAATCAACAAATTGTAGTTTATCACAATTAAAAACTTTTGCTTTGTGACAGACTTTCAGTGGAATGAGAGGACAAACCACTGATTTGGAGAAAACATTTTCATCTCACTTCTTGAGTCAATGACTATACCTAGAATATGTAAAGAATGCTTACAATTGTACAGTAATAAAGCAAACAGCCCAGTTTTTAAAATGGATTACAAATAAGCATATGAAAAGGTACTCAAGCAGCAACAGTAATCATTGAAGATATACAAGTTAAAACCACAATGAGATACTACTACAACCTTATAAGAATGGCGAAATTTCTAAAACTCAAAACCTAACAATACAAAACACTCACCAGGTTGCAGAGCATCTGGACTCTCACATGTTTGTGGGAATGTGAAATGACACAGCCACTTGGGAAAACACTTTGGCAGTTTCTTAATCCCTTTCTCAGATATTTACACCATCTGAATATTTATATTTGTAAAAACATATACATAAGTATGTGTAGCAATTTCACTTACAATTGTTGAAAACTAGAAACAACCAAGATGTCCTTGGACAGGTGAACAGATAAACAAACCATGTTGCATTTGTTCCAGCCACGCAGTGGAATACCACTGAGCAATACAAAGAAGTGAACTGATGATTCACGTCACAACATGAATAAAACTCAAGTGCATCTTGCTAAGTAATGAAAGAAACCAGATGCAAAAGCATTTGTGTTATAGGATTCAATTTCCAGGGCATTTTCTAAAAAGCAGAAATTATGGGACCAAAAACAGATTAATGGCTGCTAGCAGTTTGGGGCAGGAGGACTTCAAAAGTAATTCCTCTTTATGATACTGTGGTGGTGGATGTATAACTTAAGGCATTTGTCAAAGCCCACGGAACTGTAAGTTTCCAAGTGAATTTTTCTATATATGAATGAAGAATCAACCAGAAAGTTGGAGGTTCTTACGAGGAAAACAGATTATGACCAGTGGGTTATTAACTATGTTACAAATGTTTGACATAGCATTGAAAGGACAGGTGGAAAAGAAGCTGGCCTACTGTTGCTTTCAAAAACAATGTTTTAAAAAAAAACAAAAAACAATGTTTTTTGACACTGAGTAGCTAAAGACAAAAGAAAATTACTGATACAAACACTATATACTTTAAGGTAAGTTTGTTTCATACAAAGGTACTTCCTGTACATCATCGTTTATAAATAAGTAAATATCCTACATAATGGAGGCCAGGGCTGGGGCCAGGAAATCAAGGATGTACACTGCAGTCAGAAACATCAGTATTAGGGTTAGATATATAGATGCTGAGAGAAACAGAAATATGGACAACATTGTATACTCAGAATATATATATTATATTTCCTAACTCCATGCTGAGAGGAGGTGGAAACTGACACCCTCATAGCAATAAGCAATAATAGGTGCCCACCTCCTGTTTACTCTATACCAGGACTACTAAATTCTCCAATGTAAAGAACCAAGACTTTCTGGACAAATGGGTGATCCTAAGGCTTAACACCAGGAAAATATAAAATGGATCTGAAGTATTGTTTAGTGCCAGAAAGGAAGGAAACACAAAAATAAACATAAAAGAACGATGGGGCATGTCAAAGGGACACATACCAAACAGTGGACAAAGCTAGAATAAGTTGAACAACAAAATAAGAATAGTATTGGATTACGACAGAAATACCTGAGTCCATACTGATAAATAATTGAAAAGAGAGTGGCAAATCTTACTTACTAAAGAGCTGCAAATAGTAAGTGTAGGAAGACTGAAGAAAATAGAAATACACAACAGTAATATTTGCTGCAGGAAAGATCTATGAATGAATACTGAAATTAGTAGGTGAAACTTCAAGGAAGAATTTCAAAGTAACTCCCCCAAAATATGTTTTAATTTACTGCGGTACCGCTATTTCTGCGGTAGTTTCAAAACATGTTCATTCTCTGATACCCTCATTGAAGAACGCAGAGCTGAACTCGATATCTTTCACTGTGCGCTGGGGTTAAACGACTTGCTTCTAATGACTAAATTACAGAAAGGGAAAAATAGTTCAGATACAATGAAGGAACGCGGCCCCCACCACCTTAACCACATGGCTGTGATACAATGAGAAAAACATCCTGCCTCTCCAAACCCATAACCTTAGTCTAATCCTGGGAAAATTTAGACAAACCCAAACTGAGCAACACTGATAACTGACCAGCATTCTTTACAAGTGTCAGCCTCATAAAAATAAGACTGAGTAGCTGTCACAGATCAGAGAAGATTAAGATCTGCTACCATAAATAAAGTTAACGATGGATCTGGATCCTGGATCAGAAAAAGGACATTAGTAGTTAAACTGAGGAAGTAACTGTTGCTTGATAGGGTTGTATTAATGTTAATTTCCTAGTCCTGCTCAATATATCAAGGTTATGTAAGATGCTAACATTGGGCAAAGCTGGTGAGTACAAAAGAATCTTAAGTATTTAAAGATATGCAAGGACTATGGAGAAAAATATAAAACTTCACTCAGAGACACTGAAGAAGACAAACAATTGGAGAACAATGCCTTCATTCCACTGATGAGAAGACAATACTGAAAAGATTCTCCTTAAATCTTTAATAAAAAAAAAAAATCCCAAGGTTTGTGTGTGAGGACCTTCTCAAGCTGATTCTAAAATTTACTTGGAAGTGTCAAAGGCCAGCAATTGGTGATATTCAAGAACTTGTTTTACCAAACATTAGTACTTCTTCCACAGCAATAATTGTGAAGAATGGTGCTGAGGCAAGAGAGACTGACAGGCTTATTGGACAGGGCTGAGCATCAGGAGATAGTCCCCACACATGGACACTTGCAGTATTTCAGTGGTCACCTGTATATCACTGAAGAGAATGGACTTTTCAATAAAATGTTCAGGGGCAACTGCATATGCACATGGGAAAAACATTAAACTGGACCCTTAATTTCCTCACACGACCCACCAAAAACTCCTTGGCATTCCAGGGGATTGAAGATCAGTTATGAAAAGCAAAACTAAAAAGCTTATATGATTGAATATAGATATCTTTATAATCTTGGGATTAGGGAGAATTTTTTAAAACCAAAAAATA